AACCTTAAATTATTTAACCATGCTGAAGAGTTAAGTATGAAAGATGATGGAGTGAGGTAATATAGTATATATATAGTAATCTTTTTTGGAAATTAAATTTTACACAGAACCCTAATATATGAAACACATAAAAGAGAAGCCATCTGATACAACGTACCCACCATAGTGGCCTCTGAAGCACTCCACAGAATAGTTTGAAAATCACTCCAGGGTCTGGCATTTTATCTACAAAGGACCAGATAGTAAATAGTTTCAGCTTTGTAGACCATAGGCCTGCTCAGCTCTGCCAATCTAGCCAGAAGGCATCTATAAGCAGTATGTATGCGGATGGGGATGAATGGATTTGGCCTGCTGCTGACCAGTTTGCTTGGCTGACTCCTAAAACCCCCCTCATTTTTTTTTAAATTTTTTTATTGTTATGTTAATCACCGTACATTACATCATTAGTTCTTGATGTAGTGTTCCATGATTCATTGTTTGTGCATAGCACCCAGTGCTCCACGCAGACTGTGCCCTCTCCTCATTTTTAACAAATGGGGACTCTGAGGCCGAAAACAGGGAAGCAAATTACCATCAGTAGCAGAGCTAGGACTAGAATCCAAGTATCCTGATTACCACTTTGTTCCTTTACCTTTCATTTGTTGTCAAGTAGAAATATCTGGTGGTGTGCGTGCATGCGTGTGGTGGGGAATGTGCTCTGCCTTTTCAACAGTACCGTTGACCATAAGTAAAGTATTTATTTCTCATAAAGTGGAGGTGCCCCCAAAATCAGGTCATTTGGAGAAAATATGGTGTCCTTGCAGCTACTTAGTGCTTGCTTTTAATTGTACCGCCAATGAATGGCCTTGTCCTATAAAGATATCTGAAGATGAAGATATCTGAAGCTCCGTCATATGAAGTGTTTGAGGCTTAGTTGTTTTTTGTTGGGGGGAGGCAAAGGGAGAGAGAGAGAATCTTAATTAGGCTCAGCGCCCAGTGTGGAGCCCAACGTGGGGCTCGATCTCACGACCATAAGATCATGACCCCAGCTGAAACCAACAGTCAGATGCTTAACCGACTGAGCCACCCAACTGCCCCAAGGCTTAGTTTTATATGTCTTCCTAGGGGAAAATGGCTGTATTTTTAATGTCTTTAAGTTTTTTTATCTTTAAGTATAGTTGACATATAATATTAGTTGGAGGTGTACAACACAGTGATTCAACAATTATGTACATGATAAAATGCTCACCATGATAAGTGTATTACAATATTATTGGCTACATTCTTTATGCCGTGCTTTTCATCCCCATGACTTACTTATTTTATACCTGGAAGTTTGTACCTCTTAATCCCCTTCACCCATTTTGCCCATTCCCCCACTCCTCTCCCCTTTGGCAACCGCCAGTTCTCTGTATTTATCAATGTGTTTCTCTCTTTGTTGTTATTTGTCTGTTTGGTTTGTCTTAATTAGACACTAATGTGATAATGAGAGTTATTGAAATAATGAAAACCATATCAAGGCTATCTGGCATGAATGTTCCAAGTTGAAAGGATTAGAGCATGTGTGATTTGGCATTAACTTTTTCTTTAGAAAAAAGAACAGTACTTTTTGTCCTGGGTGGTCTACTAAGCACTTCATGTGTTATCTCATTTGATTCTTATAGAGATATATCACATCATCATCATCTCCATGTTGTTGATGAATGAATAAATGGAAGCTCAGAGAGATTAAGTGTCTTACCTAAGGTTGCATAACTAGTGAGTGGGAAAACCAGGATTTGAAATCAGTCTGAGGCCAAAGCTCATAACCATAACCGCTTTACTATGTGGCCTCTCTCTTTGCCTAAGAAGGAACCACTGACATTTCTGATGACATTGGAAGGTGAAACTGGGGACTCAGAATGTCCTCATTACCGATCTAACATTTGAGGAACTTAGCACAGGAGATAAGTATACAGAGGAGAATCAGAAAAGAAAAGGGGATTTATCATGAGGAAGGTAAAAGTGAAGCATATAATGATAGTAGAGGAATTAATAAACCATATAGACCTTTGGTCCTTTCTAAATATAGATGAGATCTAGGGGCATCTGGGTGGCTCAGTCAGTTGAGCATCTGACTCTTGATTTTGGCTCAGGTCATGATCTCAGGGTCATTAGATCGAGCCCTGTGTCGGGCTCCTCGCTGGGCACGGATCCTGCTTAACATTCTCTTTCTCCCTCTGCCCTCCTCCTCCTTCTCTGAAAGAAAGAAAGAGAGAGAGAGGGAGAAAGAGGAAAGAAAGAAAGAAAGAAAGAAAGAAAGAAAGAAAGAAAGAAAGAAAGAAAGAAAGAAAGAAAGAAAAAGAAAAAGAAAAAGAAAGAAAGATGAGCTCTAGAAAACATAGAGTACGTAACTTAGAATATAGCTAACCTGTTGATTTCATCTATAGGGTCTCGCACTGGTAGCATCCTAGAGTTGTCCTTTTCTGTCACAAGTTATCTAGGTATTAAGCATTTACTAGGTGACCCTGGTATTTATGGGTGAGCTATCCTCGTTCTTCTTGTAAAAGTCGTAGGAAGAGAATTATGCCAGCAGCAGTGGTCCTGGTACCTTATGTATAATCATCCCGGTGACAAAGCATAATTGGACTTCTCTCGGCCTGCTTTGTGGATGTCGTCTGACCTGCATGCCTCTCTTCAGCCAACTCAGAAAAGTCCCTGGCCGTTTGTTGCTTTTCCCTTCCAGAGGGTTGGCTCAGTGACTCCTGCCGCTGGAGATGCTTTTGCTAAGATGTTAAGGTTTCCTTTCTCAAGAAAAGGAGGACATGGAGATAGCCACCTAGCCCTGGACTGCTGCTTTTTCAGTTCTCTGTGCTTACACCAGAGTACTTTACCATCAAGGCAAGAACTGCATGCTCGCTTTAATTGCCTTTAAGTATAACTGCTGTAAGCCTGAGTAATTATAGTTAACATCCTCTGCATTAACATTGCACTGCTCCCTTAGGATTTTCAGAGTGATTCACAAATAAATGCATTCACCTTTAAATAGCTCATGAGGATTATAGAACCCAAAAGGTGAAGATAGAGAATATTCCCTGCTCTCCAGTTTTTCAAAGCTTAGCAAATAGGAAGGCAGAGACATCCATGGCCTAACAATCTTCATTGCCCTAGTCACTGTTGTTACAAATTGTCACCCATCCCAGGAAAGAAAAGTGTAAGCTTACTGAGACAAAGAGAGTGGTGATTGCTGTTTGTTTTATTTCCTAGGGAAAGGTCGAGTAGATAAAAACATGTAGACTTCCGACTCACCTCAACCGGTTTACAAGGCTAAATTGAACGAGGTCTTGGAATGAAAGAAAGTATAGGCAAAAAAATTTTTAAGTTTTCTTTTCTCAGTCACCTAGGCAAAGCATACCACAGGTCTGGTGGGAAAATATAAGATAGGTTTTCTGCAACCTAGATAAAGTTTAGCAATTCTGATTTGGGGAGAAGACAGATATGAAACAAGGACAGTTCAGCACAGGCTTTTGCTGTCTGACTGGACCTTCTAGACAGCAGTGATTTGGACTCATTACCATTAAGAAGTTACCTGGTTTCTGCAATGGGGGAATCGCGGGTTGGTCCTGCTGGCTTGGTCCCAGCTAAATGGGGGTGGGCAAGGCGGGAACGTTGGGTAACGTCTAACATTGCAACTCTCTGCCTAGGTAGCTCAAGGGCTTGGGAATCTGTTGAAAAGTTAGAGTTGAGCTGAATTCTTCAATTTCCTTTTGACAAGGTTATCAATAATATTTTGATTTGGATCTTAATAGTGAAAGTATCCCTAACCTGAGCTTCCATGAAAATGATAGTGACAGATGTGACTGGCTTGGAGGAATTTCTGCCTGAGAAAGAGTCCATGGGTTGATTTTGTTAGCGAGAGACACCCCACAAATATGATGAAAAGCAGAACCTCTTCGTTGACTAACAAGCTGGGAAGGCTGCACTTAACCCTGTGTTCTCAAGTGTTGGGGAGGTGTACACCTTCCATAAAGAGCCCCGAGAGCCTCCTCATTCCTCCATTCCAGTGGAGCGAGGATTTAGCTTATGAATTACAAGGGTACAAAGAACTCAGTTTCTTAGTCCCAACCTGCTTCCCCCTTTGCTTTTAGTTATGGCTCATAGTCTTGGAAAGAGGAAGAATCATGTTTGACTCATTTTGTCTTAGATTCGATTCATTAGTTCGAGTCTTTAGATATCTTTAAAGGTCCCAGACTAAAGTTGAGAAATTATGGCCCACTGTCACCCACTCAGGCTCATGACTGAGGCAGAAATTGCAAATAACCTGTGTTCTTTTAATAAATATCTAGTGAGGCAGTGCTAGTCAATGAGGAGATTAAAAACTCTAAAACCATTGTATGGTAGCTTCACTTTTGAGAAGCAGAAACTGTCCCAGAGAGCGACGATGACCATATTGGGTAATTACAAGGACCACAGGCTTCAAAAAGACAATTCTGGCTTCCTTGTACCTTCAGCACCCATTCTCTGTCGCTTGGAGAGGAGACACCTATATGGCGGGGGGTGGGGGGGGCAGGGTTCCTTTCCATACCAAATTAAGGTTTTCTCCCTGGAGAGCCCCCATTTTATTTTTTTAGAATTTCTCTAATGACCAAAATAAGATATCGCTGTCCCCAGAGTATTCCAGTTTAGAGTGAAGAAGAGCAGAGGTGAGGACCTTCCCATCAGGATTATTGTTTTAATAATATTAAAAGCTTGCCATCTAAGACAGACTCCGCTGATGGAAATAGGTCTGGGGAAGACAGAGAGGTGGGGAAAGAAGCAAAAATAAAAGGGAGCTCCTAATTCCTCTTCCTCGTCACAGTCTCTGTATGCTAAATACAAGGCAGCATACCACTCATCATGAAGGACCTTCTTGCCATTCATTCTTTTTTTTTTGGAGCTGGACAGAAAGAGATCTAAACCCAAGGCTGGATTTGGGGGCTGCATAACTGACCCCGTTGTTCTCTTTTGTTCCATCTTGCAACTCTCCCACCCTGGAATTTCAGCTGAAAAAGAAGCAGGTGTATGTGGATAAGGTGGAGAAGATGCAGCAAGCCCTCGTACAGCTCCAGGCAGCATGTGAAAAACGCGAGCAGCTGGAGCATCGTCTCCGGACACGGCTAGAGAGGGAACTGGAGTCCCTCAGGATTCAGCAGGTATGGAGAACTTAGAGAAAATGAGATCGGTCCTGGTTTGGTTATGCTTCATTTGGTGCCTGACGTGAAGACAAAAACCACACTTCGGCTCATCTTTTTGGTCTTCCCGTCCCACCCGACCTTACTTCCAGACTGCCTTCTCACGGTAAAGACAAAGTCGGCATCCTTAGCTTCCTGTCCCAGAAAAATCCTTAATGCCTATTATCCCATGCCTTTTATCTTCAGATGAGCAGTAGACCCTGTAAGAAGTGAAGATGCTGTGCAAATAGACTCTTAGACATTTTAGAATTGGATGTGGTCTTTAGAATCATCTGACCATGCCTGTCCTCATTTTTATTTATTTGTTTGTTTAAAGATTTTATTTATCTATTTGACAGAGAGAGCACAAGGAGGGGGAGCAGCAGGCAGAGGGAGAGGGAGAGGGAGAGGGAGAAGCAGACTCCCCGCTGAGCAGGGAGCCTGACGTGGGGCTCGATCCCAGGACCCTGGGATCATGACCTGATCTGAAGGTAGCCACTTAACCCGACTGAGCCACCCAGGTGCCCCGTACCCCTCCTCATTTTTAGATGGGAGAAAATCAAGACTCAGAGAAGGTTGCATGACTCACTTAAGGCTACACAACAAGTCAGGGGCAAGGTAGGGCCCAAATCCTAGATTTTTAATGTCCCTTTCTGTTGTGTACCATGCTGGCAGACAGGGATAGCGATTTTTTTTTCAGCCACCAATCCGCTTTCTGAGCAGCATGACCGTTGGACATGACAAGCTTCTTTCCTGATCAGAGGAGTCTCCTATTCGAGCCCAAAGTTGAGAGTCCCGGGCCTTAGGAGGAAATCTGAATTTCCTTTGCTTCTGAATCAGAATCCAAACTGAAGTGGCTGGGGCAGTAATCCTCTCCAAGAATGGGGGGCTCTTCGAACGGGACTCGGCCACCACGCTTTTTGCACTAACCTGAGGGGTCTCCGCCATCTCCCCAACCAGCGCCAGGGCAACTCTCAACCCACCAATGTTTCCGAATACAATGCCACGGCGTTGATGGAGCTCCTGCGTGAGAAGGAGGAGAGGATCCTGGCCCTGGAAGCCGATATGACTAAGTGGGAGCAGAAGTATTTGGAGGAGAACGTGATGAGACACTTCGCTCTAGATGCTGCCGCGACCGTAGCTGCTCAGAGGTAAGGAGCTGGCGGCCAGAGTCACTGCTTGAAGGGCCCAGGGGGTGGGGGAGGGGCGCGGGGGGGGCAGAACAGAAAGGTGACTGATAAAAAGATTTTTCAGTGTTTTTTCTTGTTTTTCCTGTAATGCTCTTCCCCGCCCCCCCCGCTCCCCAATTTCTGCTTAAATGTGTTTTCTTTCATCTGGTGAAGCAGGGACTGTGAGGGCAGAGGGTCACAAATTTGAAAATTAATGTTGACTTATGAACTTACCGGAATCCTAGCTCGGCTTTCCTCGGGAGCCAGAAACATTGCAGGTGGGATCAACGAATGTTCGCATACCTCTTTTCACCAGAGCCACGGCTTCTTGCAGCCACGTGTCTAGCTTTCTTCGTTGAGCCCCAGGACTGGAGTGGAGGCCTCGCCAGAGAAGTGCCACTCAGAAATTAAATGTCACTCAGGAGTGGTGCCGCCATTCAATAGCTCTGGCTCGCCCCAGGTGTGCCAAAGGCCGTGCTCAACATGGACCCATCCCTGCCCTTTGAGCAGGTCTATATTTGAAGGCCACGTTCTCTGTGGCCATGAGCGCATCACATGGAAACGGTCACATTCCATTTGGTCAGGGAGAGAAAGTGGCAGGAGGATTTTTTTTTATTTTTATTTTTTGCCTCTTTTCTTTGCCCCTTTCACATGAAAACATTAAACACTGGTCTTTGGAGGAAACTGTGCTCTTACCTTGTCTGGCTGTCTTGCCGCTGTTCAGAATCGCGAGTTGGAAAAGAAAGAAAGAAACAACAGGAAAAACTAAATTTGAATCAGGAGATGGCCTGGCTCGTTGGAGAGATGGACAGAGCCTGGGTCTGCAGTTGGGTATCTGAGAGAGGCCAGAGCGCATTGCACCCATAGAGTCTCTACCCAGAAAGTTATTAAGAACCACGGTGCTGTTTTTAATGTTCTCCTAAACGTGGTAAGCTGGAGGAATCTGGAAACGCTTGCCAGAGTTCAGGCTGGGATGTGTGTGCTGTGCGGAGGGGGTGGCGAATACATTTTATCTGTGATTCCTTCTCATGCCAAATCAGAGGGAAGGCAGTGCTGAAGAGCTGGGCTGGTGGTTTGAGAACCTACTCCCAGTTCTCCAGGAAGACATCTTAACGTTTCTCTAACACACTCCGCCTGTCTCCAGGTATCCTCTATAAACCTTAAATGGATCGGAATCGCCCCTGCCCCAATTTTGAGGTCCTCATGGGCTTAAGCTTTACCTGTCTTTGTTTTCCGCAAACGGTGTGCTCAGTACATGCCCGGGCGGTAGCAGAGTGTGCAGAAGCCCCAGCTGCGCTCGAAGATGGTCGGAAAGTTTGTAGGCAGATTAGAAGCACAATTGAGTGTCATTTTGGCTGCTACCTCCCAAGAAAAACACCTGTGGCCTGTGCTTATTTCACAAAGGTTATTCAGGCAACCCTAAATCTGTAAAGGAGATGCAGGATGATTTCTATTATCATTGCACAGAAGCCAAGACAGATACCACTCGTGAAGGTGTGCCGTGTGAGAAAATGTTGGACAGCCAAGGTTCTCGGTGCTGGGACGTTCGATGCTAAAACTGACTCCAGAATAGACTTCAGGTCCGGAAAGGCAGGAAAGCTAGAACATTGTCCCCAGGGTCCCTGTATAGAGAAACGACCCCCCCTTCCCTCCCCCCTGGAAAGTTTTGAGTATTGGGAGAAAACCCCTTTCAGACAGATTTCTTTCCAGCCTCTGTTGCCTTCCGTAAGGTAGATTTAAGTCAAATTCTTTTAAATCACCAGGTAGAGAGTTTCCATGGAATCACTGTTTTTAGTAAAATGTGTGTGCTTATCATTTCATATGATAAAAAGCAGCCAGTTTCCATCTAGTAGAAATACCTTATGTTAGTTCCTCAGGCAAGCATCGTGTATCTGGACTGTATACTTTTTGCATGACTATTAATCCAACCCACAGGAGAAATTGAGAGATTGTGTTCAAATTCCTGCAAAATGAGAAAACTGGACTAGGCAATTCCTCCAGAACCTTCTATTTCCAGGATTATACTATTTTTTTTTCAAAGATAATGCCTCTTATGCTTGGCCACAGAGACTAGTTTCCTTCTCCTCCTTCCTCAGTGAGATTTCAAATTTGGAAGGGAGCATTCAGAAAACTTTCTTTCAGAACCTGTGAGCTCTTCCACCTTCCCTTCCAACATGTCTTGCCATTCCTTTTCTGTCCATTCTGTCTCCTCTCAGCCCTAAAACTTGACCAAGGTTCTGCTCTTTGCCCCTTTCTGTGGTAAAAGCTTTACATTGTTTTCTTTCTAAATAATTTTTAAGTGCCTAGGGTATTGGCTGCAGATAGAATGTGCTCAACATGTATTTGAGTAAGGAAGGAGAGAAAGAAGTAAAAAGGAAGGAAGGAGAAAAGAAGAAGTGAAAGAGAGGGAAATGATTGCTAACCCTATAACAAAGTCCCTAAATCTAGTGCCACATTTTAATGACCTGCTTGGTTCCCTGTGTATTCCACTAGTATCTCAAACTTTAATACATTCCCAGTGTAATAGCTCATAGGGAGATAACAGGTTGCACATTTAGGAGATGTTGCTTGGGTGGTATCAGTGGTAGTTGTAGAATCTTTTCAATTAAGGTATTATTTACATATCAAGAAAACGCCTAGTTCAAGTGTATGGTTTGATGCACGTTGGCAGGTGTATACAGTAACGGAGCCGCCACCGCGGTCAAGATAGAGGACACATTCTAAACTGCTCTTGTGCCCCTTCAACTTGATCCCTTCCTCCCCCACCTGGCCCCAGACAACAGTTCATCTGTTTTTTGGTCATTATAGTTTTGCCTTTTCTAGAATGTTGTATAAGAGGACTCATATAGTGTATACTCTTTATGTTTGATTTCCTTCACCTGGCATCATTATTTTGAGATTCGTACAAGCAGATGCATGTATCAGTATTTTATTTCTTTTCGCTGCTGAGTAGTGTTCCATAGTTTGGGTCATACCACAGGTGCTTATCCATTCACTTGATGATGGATATTTGGATTGTTTCCCTTTTTTGGCCATTGTGAATAATAAAATACAGATTTGAATATAATAACAGACAACTGTCTTTTCTCAGGTGAGAAAACCTATTAGGTGATCAATTTATACCCCTGTTAGCACTTGGATTCTACGAAGCACCCCTTGTCAAAGGGAAAGTGGTCAATGCAAGAAATCACATGTAGTCTTTTTTTTTTTTAAAGATTTTATTTATTTATTTGAGAGAGAGAGCACAAGAGGGGGTAGGGTCAGAGGGAGAAGTGGAGTCCCCACCGAGCAGGGAGCCCGATGCGGGACTCGATCCCGGGACTCCGCGATCATGACCTGAGCCGAAGGCAGTCGCTTAACCAACTGAGCCACCTAGGTGCCCACATGTAGTCTTTTCTATATAAGGTACTGTGCTAAGTACTTTACAATTATTGCTTATCCTCACAATAATTCTTTGAGATAAGTATTATTATCTATTGTACAGATGAGGAAACTGAAGCAAAGACAGGTTAAATAATTTGTCCAAGATCACACACAGTTACTAAGAAGAACTGGGATTGAAAATGACATTTTGACACCTCCACCACTGCTTATCTGCTGCTTCCCAGATACGAAGATTTCAAGATGGTGCAATATAGGGATTGTGAACTGTTCAAGAGCTACTATTTGAGGCTTATTATTTAGTCACTTAAAAATACTATAAATAGGGGCGCCTGGGTGGCTCAATTGGTTAAGCGACTGCCTTCAGCTCAGGTCATGATCCTGGAGTCCCGGGATCGAGTCCCACGTCGGGCTTCCTGCTCCTCGGGGAGTCTGCTTCTCCCTCTGACCCTCCCCTCTCTCCTGCTCTCTCTCTCTCTCTCTCTCTCATTCCCTCTCTCTCTCTCTTTTTCTCAAATAAATAAATAAAAATAAAAAAAATACTATAAATAATCACAATAATATGGCCCAGATTATAACTCCATGTTGTTGTGCTCCTAGAGATTCTCTAGATGCTTAATATAGATGAGGGAAATTATTAACGAGTAGTTCATCCTAGCAGAATGGATTTGTCAATGCAGATTGAAGTTCACAAATGGTGAATATATTTCTGAATAGCAGCAAAAGGATATAAAAAGATAACAAACCCGATCAGCCATGCCATTTACAAGTTTGCATTTCCCGAAGTAGGTTGTTAACCTTCTTCAAACGTGCAATGTTTTGTAGTCTAAGAAGAACTGGGATTGAAAATGACATTTTGACACCTCTTCACATCTTCTTCAAACGTGATGTAAATCTGGGAAAGAAGGAAGGAAGGGGAAAGCAGAAGTAAGAAGCTGCTCACACACATTATACATGCCTACCTGTTCCTTCTCGGTAGGCTTTCCTCAGTTTCCGTCTTCAGCTGTCTCTTCGTTCTACCTTCTGTCTTAGTTATCTTGTTCTCTGTTACAGCTTCAAATAGTAAGTCTGACATCCCTTAGATTAAAGTTAGACTTGTCAACAACTTGTTGGATATTGTCATATGGCTATTCATAAGACATGTTAACTCCGATGTAACTAAAATCAAGACCCATTATAATGCTTTCCCAAAGATCTCTCCTTACTTTCCTAGCACAGAAAATGAGTGGTGTGCCATCTTTTCTAATCATTTGACTTAGAAACAACAAAGTTCTCATGCATTCTCCGCTCTCTCCAACAGCCACGTTTAAACAGTCTCCAAGTTGTAGCAATTATGCCTCCTATGGCCTGTTGCATCGGTTCATGATTTCAGTATCCGTGGCTGGGATTATTACAATAACCATTCTGACTAGCTTGCCCAAGTCCAGTGTATTCTCCCCCCAACCCCCCACCGTATTTCGGCCAGAGATAATGCTGTCTTTCTAAAGCACAGCTTGGATCATTTCACTCCCCTCAAAAAGCTCTAATGATTTTCAGTGCCTATTGGAATAAAATTCAGACTCGCTTCTGTAATAATTAATTATTTACCTTTTTTTTTTTTTTTTTTGCCTCGCCTTGCAAGTCTCCTGCCGTCAGGGACTAGTCTTATGCATGTCTAGCCACTTTTTAGCATCGCAGTAACTTCAAACACAGTGCTCCACTCAACGGTCGAGTTCACATATTAAATAAACAAACAGATGCTACCGATAGGAAAAGATGGATTTGAAGTTTAAAAGTTTAAAACACTAGATGTTTTAATGAGGAAATCAGGGGTGACATTCGAGAAAACAACGTAAGCAACATGATGGGGATAACTTCATCGGACAAAGGAAGGAGAGAGATGACCAGAGGGGGAGAGTCGTCAGAAACCCCTTTACTTAAGAATTTAGATGTAGGATGTCAAATTCAGGGATCTACATTTTGGAGTATACAGGTGGTGTTTCAAGCCAGCATCTCACTCCAGATGTGCCTAAGGGTCATCTCGGAGTATTGGAAGTTAGGTCAAGTTGCTCCTTCCAACACTGTGCTTGCTTGCTTTTGCCTGAGCCATTGGCTTAGTAGCCCCAGTCTTCTAGAAGGAAGATTGATGTTGAAGGCCGTCCTGGCAGCTCTGTCGGAATTCACTAAGTGCCCCACATTTTCAGGCTCCATTCCTTAGGAGCTCACAGTGTCCATATCAATTAGCTGGCAGGGCTCTGAGTCCCCGAAACGGTCTTTTATGCAACGAAAGTGGCCTGGCTCCCCCAGTGACAGACCGTACACTCATGTCCCCAGTGTCCATAGACACCGTGCACTCTTTAGAGAGGCCTGGCTCTGAAGCAGCCATCCCATTGGAACTGTGCGCTGCAGGAATTGGCTCCACGATATAATCCCGGAGCTGGAATTCTCTAAAGTCATCCTCTCTTGTTTATTACCCTCCTTCTACCTAGGTACTTTTCTCTCTTAAATAACAGGTAACTTTGTTGAGTGTTTTTATAGTGCCAGCGCCTGGCACTGTGTCTTTTACGTGCATACTTTGACATCATCCCCCCAGAATGCCACGAGATACAGGTTATGATGATGATTTCTATCTTGCATATGAGGAGACTGAGCTTTAGAGGAGTTAACTGATTTCCTGAGCTCATAGCATTTGTTAGTGGCAGAGTACTTGGGAAAGTGGGATTTGACCCTGGTGTGGTCTATAGTCAGAGCCTGTGCTCCCCACATTACACAATGCCATTTCCCCTTGGGTACCTTGGAACGCAAGAGCCATTCCCGGTAGGACCGGAAGCAGGTGAACTCACCAGAGCCAAGTGTGGAATTCTGAGATGCTAAAATATTTCGAATTTAGCAGCTGATGCAAGCCACTGCAGTCCTCCTCATCCTTCCTCTCCCAGTTATTTCACCACTCAAATACATCGGTTCAGCCTTGCATATAAAAGTGCAAACGTTTGGGGAGACAGTAGTTTTGTAGAACCTCACCCAAATTCCCTAACTTTAATACCAATTCTCTGCCTCTTCGTTCCCCTGTCCCTTTCCTTCCCATCTGCACTGGTCACAATCTCTAAGCTAAGAGAACACAGCTAGCTGCCAGCAGAAAATTCTCCCACAGATCCTCGTTCTCAAAGGAAGTATAAGGAAGCTGTGCCAGTTCATTGTTTTCTTGGTCTATTGTTGGCTTTCCTTGAAGACCCATATAATTACATCAATATTCTTCCCAATCCCTTTTTTTTCCCTCCAAGTGATTCAAAGAAGATCCAGTTTTCTTCATTCCTTTCCCTCTTTTCTTCTACCACTAGTTCTAAATAAACTAAAGAAAGATGCATGACCTCATTTATCAGGACGATATAGGATTCCCATATATCTTTGACTTGTGCTGTTTAGACATCAGCCACCCATGGGCTAGACCCTCTCCCCAGCACCACGTCCTCCTTCTCGCTATCTCTCTCTCTCCCTCTCTCTCTCTCTCTCTCTCTCACACACACACACACACACACACACACTTTACTACTTATTAATTAGTCTTTGAGTTAATGGCCTGAGACACTTTCAAATGAAACAGGATGGTGCCTCGTGCAGTTGGGACTCTGGCAAGAGAACAGTCTTGTAGTTGGGGAAGAGATTTCTCGATTTGGCACTAGAATGTTTCTGATGTAGGTCAGATAGGAATGAAGTGGCACTGATTCAAAGGCCCTGCTTCTCACTCAGCTCGCATGCTCTAACTGACCTTCGCTGTTGACGTGTCTATAGTTTGTTTCTAGCACTCAGGGTAGTTGTTCCACATCTATAGCAAGAGCTGTCTAGTAGTACATTCTCTGTCTTTCAGCAAAGTCTAGCCTTTTCCCATTTATAACTGTCATGAGAATAAAGTGGAAATCGATACTATCTTATGTGTAATATAAATAATAATATAAAGTGGAAATATAAATATCTTCCTATTACCTGGCCATGATCGAAAACCTCGAAGGGACTCTGCCAGAAGGCTTTGGGAGGCCGTCTGTCTAGTTCTGAAGGCAAGCCTGTGCACCTCTCGTAGAATCCCTTGTTGACTTTTGCAACTGTACTCATGCCAAAAACCTCCTCTAGCTCTGAAAGCTGCACCTTCCCATCTTGGAGGTTCTTTTTTTTTTTTTTTTGACAGAGACAGAGACAGCGAGAGAGGGAACACAAGCAGGGGGAGAGGGAGAAGCAGGTTTCCGGCTGAGCAGGGAGCCCGATGCGGGGCTCGATCGCAGGGCCCTGGGATCATGACCAGAGCCGAAGGCAGACGCCTAACGACTGAGCCAACCAGGCACCCCTTGGAGGTTCTTTTCAATAAGTTGTCCAGAAACCAACCATTCCTAATGAGTTTGACTGTTTTCCAGCAATACCTTTGACTTGGGAGGGAGACGATAGGATTCGTTGGTTTTGCTGCCTTGTCATCATCATCACTGCCATCTTCCTTCCAGGGACACAACAGTTATCAGCCACTCTCCCAACACCAGCTATGACACGGCCCTGGAAGCTCGCATCCAGAAAGAGGAGGAAGAAATTTTGATGGCCAACAAGCGCTGCCTCGACATGGAGGGCAGGTAAAATACCGATCTGGACCCTGGTAGATCTGAGAAGAAGGTATCGAGACCAGATAGGTCAGAAGGGAAGGACAGGTGGCATCTTCATTCACAACCGGGAAACCCGATAATGCAGCTTCCCCCGACCCCTGCACCCCTGCCAGCCTGTTACTTGGGATTTGAAATGCAATGACCTTTACCTTGCTTTCCCCATTGGCCTTGGTAATTGCTTTCCATCCTCCCTCTGCCAGAACTGTATTGCTGGCATTCGCACTCTGGGGTATTCTTTCTAGCGTTGGACTTCAACCCTGGGATACAGCAGAGTGCACAGTAAGAGAATATCCATTCCAGCTCGGACGTAGGGCCCCTGATACCTCTTATAAACTCATGATTATCTACTTATTAGCTGCAGTTGTGGCCCATTCGCAGTTCTCATCTTCTCACTAAATACATCGTTCCATTGACTCCGATTCCTCACTTCGGCACCCACTACATCAGTCTACTCTCTCATCTACAGCCTTCTTTTCCACCATGACCTACCTTTGGCCTCCTGAGGTTTAAGCAACAACTCCCGGATGCTCTGCTCTACTCATTTGGGCGTGGAGAAAGGCATTTTAAGAAACGTAGCACAGCGCCCCTTGCTTTACACCCCAGAAATAACTAAACCACTCCTCAGTCGAAAAGATACTGGAAGCTCAAGTCCAAGCAGGCCGTGAGACCAGAACATGGAGGTGGCGACAACGTTTTTATACGTTCTCTGTCTTTGGCTCCTAGGATTAAGACCCTCCATGCCCAGATCATTGAGAAGGATGCCATGATCAAAGTACTCCAGCAGCGTTCCCGGAAGGAGCCGAGTAAGACAGAGCAGCTGTCATCCATGCGACCCGCAAAGTCTCTGATGTCCATTTCCAACGCCGGGTCAGGCTTGCTCTCACATTCTTCCACCCTGACCGGCACCCCCATCATGGAGGAGAAGCGAGATGACAAGAACTGGAAGGGGAGCCTAGGTAATGACAGTAAATAAAGAATGCAAGTGACAGTAAATAAAAAACGCAAGTGACGTGTTTAAAGGGAGCCCCGACTTAGATATGTGCCCACTCGGCAAGGAAAAGGAGTGAGGGTCCGGAATCTAGAGAGAGGGTGATATACCAGGTTGGGTTTCTGTCCTCCTGAGAGGAGCTCCTCCACACTCTTGACGTCTCACTGAGAGAACACCGCTTGAAGCCAAGGCCTCAGAAGATAAGAATTCTGAGTTCTGTTTGGGTGGGAAGGAAGACAACTTCAGTTTCCTTTAAAAACATTCTCAGATCTGGCCTTGCCACGTGAGACCTTTTGTCTTTGTCCAGAGCCCACGTGACCTCCACGCCAGTCAAAATGTCAGACTTCCAGATTTTTCTCTGTTCTTTGCCCCCATAGAATAGGAGGACTCAGAGTTCTAGTTGAGCTGAATGGAGCTGGGTGGCAGGGTTTTGTGACCAGAATGTTCTGAGATGAGAACTGAGTGTACTTTTTCATTCCATTCCTGTCCATTCCTTCCCCTTGGCTCAAAAGCCCAGAAATATCGTGGCTATCACGAGGCACATTTTTAGAGCCTGCGAGAGCCCCCTTTGTATTTTAATTTTCGGTCTTTTTGTTGCTTCGAATACCTTTCTTGGCCCTCTGAGACTTGCAGTGTCCTTTGGGTAGAGGAGGTATTCTGGGGATCACGGTCCTGATTAGAACCTTAGGTGGCACAATTACCGTGACACTCATCGGTGACCACAGACTTCTTCCCCCAATCCTTTCCAGCCATCCGGCAGCGGATGATGTTGGCAATAAGTGGAACTGAGTAGAAGCGTTCTGAAAGCTCGTTGGAGGTCAGTGACCATCGGAAGAAGGAGTCACAACAGATTCGCAGGACACTTCAAGGTTTCATACCTTGTGCTGGGGTAGAGAACGAGGACCAGGAGGCAAGGTGCCTGCCCAACCGATTCCTGGGCTTTCTGGAGGCCCAGGGGAAGTTTCTCCCGAACCTCCTGCAAGGAAGAAGAGGCAACCAGAGGTCTGCGTTTGAAGAGCCTGCACCTCTCTGACCTCTTTTCCCGCTTTCCCTCGTAGGTATTCTCCTGGGTGGAGACTACCGCGCTGAGTCTGTCCCTTCCACACCGTCGCCGGTGCCGCCGTCCACTCCCCTGCTCTCGGCTCACTCCAAGACAGGCAGCCGAGACTGCAGCACCCAGACGGAACGAGGAACCGAACCGAACAAAACCGCAGCTGTCGCTCCAGTCGCGGTTCCCGCGCCGGCCGCTGCCGCCGCCATCACTGCCAACGCTGCTGCCAACAGCGCCGCCGCTGCCACCAACAGCACCACCATGGGAGCCGCCGCTCCAGCCGCTGCCGCCGCCGCCGCCCCATCTCCGGCAACTGCTGCTGCTCTCGCGGCTGCCGTTTCCCCAGCCGCCGCTGCTCAGCTTCCAGCAGCGGCCTCTGCAGTTGCCGCGGCGGCGGCCGCTGTTGCTCCCGCCGCGGCTGTTCAGGTTGCTCCAGCAGCTCCGGCTCCGGCTCCGGCTCCGACAGCGTCTCAGGCTTCTGCTCCGGCTCAGACTCAAGCGCCAAGTCCAGCTCCGGCTGCGGCTGCTCCTCCGGCTCCGGCTCCGGCTCCGGCTCCGGCTCCGGCTCTGGCTCCGGCTCCGGCTCCGGCTGAGGCTTCTGCAAGTCCAGCTGCCGGTTCTGGGTCGCGTCGTTTGTCTGTACCAAGTTTGACCTGCAGTCCGGATAAGACAGGTAATGAGTCTGCATGCCGGGGCAGCTTTGGGCTCTGCCCTCAATTACAGGTTGTTTGTTGGCACCCTGCTGCGTAGATACTGTTGGTCATTTGGCCAGAGTTGTCCGTGTGCTAAAGGGGAGCCATCACAAGACACAAGGGCAGAGTCTGTCAACGGCTTCTTGGGACACCAGGATGGGAACAGGGATGAGCCAAGGCCGTTCTTCCAGTAGAAGTAAATGCTCAGGTGAACAAGGGGAGGGGGTGGCGGGCGGGCAAGTCTCGATCCGCCATTGGCTTCATGGCTCCCAAGCTGTCGATTTCTAGGAATCTGCGTCTTTACCTTGTGCCTGAGTCTTTTCTAACCCCCTGTTTCCATTTAGATGGCCCTGTTTTCCACTCCAATACTCTGGAAAGAAAAGCTCCCATTCAGATGCTGGGACAAGAGCCTGATGCAGAGATGGTGGAATATCTCATCTAAACGGCGTGTTCGAGAGCTGCAGTTTATCAGCGAGAGTGCTTTTAATCATTTTTCCCTTTTGTTTGTTCTTATTTTGAGGGTGAGGACAAGGGTTGGGGGGATGTTTTTTAAAGGGACTTTTTATTGAAACGATGTAGTACTTAAGTAATACCATACAAACTCCAGTCTACTCTGGTACACACTTAGAGAGTACCTCTAAAGACCGCTTAATCAGAATGTGCTCTAAAGTTTATTGTGTGGATTTATACAAATCCTTGGACTGTTGATAGCTGGATATACATGAATGTTTTCAACGTGCGTAATTTTATTTCGCATTTCCATATTCCAGATCATTTTGATTGAAGAGCACAGTACGTTTGGTAGACAGTGTGTAACATGTAGTTCAGAAGTGGGAAGCCGGAGAGAATTTGCACGTGTGCTGTTTTGTATACTTACCATCTAGACAGCGTCCAGAGAGAGAGAGCTCTCGTCTCGGGCTCGCGAAAGGGAATAGTTTCGGGAGCTGTGTAAGCTGGAGAAAAGGCAGGGAATATTGGGGTGTGGAAGGGTGCTGGAGCTAATTTTCCTTCCCAATTTCCCAGCTGCCCTGTGCCAGGAGATTGTGTTTATCTTCATTTCAGTGGTGCTTTGGAAGTGGATTCTTTTGGTTCCCTCGTGGAGGTTCATACATTCATATATATACTCTGGAGTAATTTATGCATTTGGATAATTAATATATTGCTTTCAGATGCTAGGAGAGTAAATTAGCTGTGTGATGGACAACTTCCTCTTTCTTAGGGAGTTAGACCATCAGAGGCCTTGACGGAGAGTTGCATGAGGTGCTGTGTGTGGCCATGAACACAGCTCGCTTGCCTTTCCTGAGACCAATCTGCTTAGTGTTTATTTCTTCTCCAGCACAAACTCACTGGCTGTGTCACCAGCCTCAAATTTCCAATCCTTGGCAAAACGAGGAAGCATTTTCGGTGATGGGCCGAATGCTTTGACTTTCTGGTGGCTACTTGGAAATAACTCCTTTTGTTTTCCCCAATTCTTAGCATACGTCTTAAAAGGCATCGTTGACTACCACCTCCAAGGGAATAGCATCAGAAGCCCAAAGTACTATGCTGCAGCCGGGGGGAGAGGTGGGCTGCAGGTGTAACCTTAGCTACCCCTTCTCGCTGCCAGTGACTCCATCTCGGAATACCTTTGGAGAGCAGCAGGAAATGTGCATGTGGACAGGGACCAAGGAGGCCAGGGCTCCAAGCTTTGCCATGGGGCTGCCTCCAGGGACACAAAAGGACTGCTTTTTGCCACGGGTCCCTGCTCTGTGTCACCTCTCTGCCCTTCATTAAGGTGACAGATCCGCAGACAATGTCATTAAGATCAGGTTTCAGGGGTATGGGAGGGTGAGGGGAGTGGGGGGGTGTTAGGTAAGGGTGGGGGGGTAGAAGTTTGGGGATGTGTTAGTTAGAAACCAGATTAATAGAAGAGTAGGCCTGCTATATTACGTCGTGAGGCATAGTGGCTGGAAGGAACTGTAGCAGTAGAGCCCTACCCCCTCAGTTGAGTGATGAGGCGTCTGAGACCCGGAGAGGTTACGGGACTTTCTCAAGATCACACAACACAGCTTTCCATTTTGCCGAATTACCATGCTTCTTTCAGGAAACCCTTATCTACAGCAAGCCTCGTTTTAAGGAAAGGCATCTTCAAGGACCACGGCATACGTATTTCCTAAAATGTCCCTGGCTTGAGTAATAGTTTGCCCAGGGTTCTGATTTCCTACCTTGCCTCTCCTGCAGTGCCTTTTGCAAGGTCTTCCCTGTCCTGGTCCTCGTTTCAACACTGAGTCACATGAAACTCCCCCCCGAAGAAATCAACCTCTCTTCTTGTGTTGCTATGGGATTGGCTGCCTCAGATCACCTTACAGGGTTCCTCTGTGACCACAGGAATGGCGGCCTATTGAAAAGTATTTTTGCGCCATTCCTAATTCTCTTCCAGAGGAATCATTCTGTGGGGCAGAGGGAGAGACAAGAGGGAGAGTGATGTGATTTTCAGCCAGCCTTGCCATTTCAGTAATGAAGTGACCATCCTATGCATTAGTCCTTGGTCGTCAAGTGAATCCCAAATAGAAATTAAAAGCGCAGCTGTGTTAATCCTCATTCATACTACCGTTTAGTCATAAGGGGGAAAGTCCTGAACTAGTAGGAGCCACAAGTAGCGAACTTCGGGACTGCTACTCTCTAGCTGAATAAATTTAAACCTTTCATCTACTCCTGTTGTGGTTATAACACATTGCCAGAATTTTTGCTAGCTCTGGGAGCCATGATTTTAATCACATTCTCTAAGGTGACAAATGTCATACATTCCACACTGTGTGCCAGCCATCTCTTTAGACTCATGTATTTTTGGGAAAGGAGGAAGTTCTTGGCTGAGTGCTACCTTGAACTTTTCTGCCACATCTCTGCCCCCTCACACCAGAGGCAGTCCTTTTTGGCTCAGTTTTTACTCCCAGGTAATTTGCTAAAGTAACACCGTACATCTAAGGGATGGAAGAAGTCCATGTCAGTGTATTATGTTTACGAAGAAGGTAGATTCAGCCTTTTCAGAAAATCTCTACTAGGTGTCCTTTTAAAATTTCAGGTTTATAGGAGGAACGTCAAGTTAGTCACCTTCCCACAGTTGTGTGGATATGTAACATTTGGGGGATCTTTCTGGACTCCCACTTATCTATGCATTTTACCGGCACCTCAGGACAGGAGGGTGACCTTGTTGTCTTAAACGTGTACTGCCTGGTGGTCTCTGGGGACCTTTTAAGTCCATTGTACCCCAATGTCCCATGTACAGAAAAACTTCATTAGAACGAACTTTACTTGATATGAAACTCCTATTAACGATTTTTTTATTAAATAAAAGTAGCTTGATTATTCTTTTAAAATCATGTATCTGGATTGTTGTTTCGATGAAGGATTTATTTTCCATGCTGCTTTCGAGCTTCAGGATGACAGGTTAGCAGGAACCTGAAATATCTGCCATCATCTGCCATAGGAAACACCAAGTGTTCTCTTGGTACGCAGTTGGGCGGGTACAACAATGGGAAAACGAACAAACTGACTGTGCAGACTACTTTTTATGAACAGCCTGAACACTCATAATGCGGCAGCTTAAAGTGCATACATATGGACTAACATTTATAAATGATATTCTCATGTCTGTTAGCCATACAATCTCCTGTTATCTCAGTTGCTCATTTCACATATGGAATGGGTTACTTCAAATGTGTGCATTCTTCCTGACCATATTTGCAAAGGAAGGCATCAGCTATGGGCTAATTGCCATCCATTTCAGCCCGCCATGATTCTTGGAAAGAGATCTCCCAAGTATCAGTCATCATCAGTAGGACAAGTGGCGGGAGTTTGTTTATTTTTTCCCAGTAGCATCGATGGGTTACATGGAATCATCAAACCTCCTTCTGGCCTCCCTTGTGATTAATGGCGTGTGTTTATAGAACGGATAACTGGCGTTGGCAGATGGCTAGAGAAGAAGCACCTTCGCTTTGGAATGTATGTGGCTCCGTAATGATTGAGACCCCATTCTGTAATCGACTGAGCTAGTTCCAATAAAGTTAAGCAGGTTTGAATCCACTTTGTGCCTATCTTTTCACTGACAATAAAGTTAGCTATTTTAAAATGCAGTGCCGCGTGGAAAATGCTTTGGTGTTTACCCAACAGAGGCTTTATTTACACTGTATCGGTGATTACTTCGAATTTAGTATGCAGTGAAATTGCCTTTCAAGGGCAGCGCGCAACACAATTTGCATTTGCTTAAAGTATGGAATGTGATTATAAAGTATTAAGACAACACCACAGGCCACATGCTCTAATTGGTTCCTTTCTATATTCAGGCAGTGTATATTAACAGCTTTGCATCTTTTTATCTCCTGTTTCCGAGGGATAAAATGATGGCCACCCAAAGCAGAGAATTCATCCTTTAGTTAGCAATTTGGAAGGCCCCCTTGATGTTTCTTTTGTACCCTTGTTCTTATGCCAATTCATCAGTTTTGGTTGAAGGAGCTTGTTATTAAAAGCAAATCAAAACCGCAAACAAGTTGGCTTTTTTTCACCGAAAATGTTAAAGCTGCCTTTACACTGCCCTCCCCGCACCTCCCGTTTACCACTGGGTCCCGCCCTAACTGGGGAGGGTAAGAGCCCCCCATGGGCTTTGAAATGACACTTTGTACAGTGAAATTGGTTGGATGGGTGTTGCAAAATGGACAGGAAGAGGAGATAGAATTCATTAAACTCTAAGTTTGATTTGTTATGATGAAGTCGACCTACATTCCCTCCATATGTATCATGAGTGTGTTGGAAACTCACACTAGGTATGAAAGCCCACTCCTCTTTTTCGGGACGAAGATGGCGTTAAGTCAACCACAGCTTTTTTTAAGATTTTATTTATTTATTTATTTGAGAGAGAGGGGCGGGGGGAGAGGGAGAAGCAGGCTCCCCGCCGAGCAGGGAACCCGATGCGGGGCTCCATCCCAGGAGCCTGGGATCACGACCTGAGCCGAAGGCAGACGCTTAACCGACTGAGCCACCCAGGCGCCCTCAACCACACCTTACAAAGCTCTGCGAAGTATTTCTTTCAGAAGTATATTGTGTATTGTGCCCAGTTCTTAATGAACAGTCATTTATAGGGAGAAAAAAACAGTGTTCCTTCAAAAGTGATTGAGATTGCCTTATAGGAGCTTTGTAGCTATTAGCTGGTATTATAACCGATCTGATCATCTGTGTGAGCACTTCATCTCCCCTTGCTGTGGGCCTCCCCTACTGTGAAGCTATTCACAGTCTATATGAGTTACACAGTTGCAGAAAAAAAAAAAAAACCACCTGCTGCTTCCCACCTTCTTCATCTCCCTCTTCTCCTGCAGGGAGGTTTTTATGGGAGGAAAAAAGTGTGTGATTTAGTTTTAGAATACTTTCTACCTTGCTTGACAATCACCCTGATACTTGAGTGAAGACCCC